GGCGCTAGTAGAAGGTACCAGTCGTAAGTACTAGTAGTAGGCACTAGTGGAAGGTACCAGTCGTAGGTACTAGTAGTAGGCACTTGTAGTAGATACGATTAGTAGGTACTGGTAGCAGGTACTGGTGGTAGGTACTAGTGGTAGGTACTAGTAGTAGGTACTAGTAGTAGGTACTACTAGTAATAGGTACTAGTGGTAGGTACTAGTAGTAGGTACTACTAGTAGTAAGTACTACTAGAGGTCGGCACTAGTAGTAGGTACTCGTAGTAGGTGTTAGTAGTAGGCACTAGTAGTAGGTACTAGCAGTAGGCACTAGTAGTAGGTACTAGTAGTAGGTACTACTAATAGTTGGTCCTAGTAGTAGGCGCTAGTAGTAAGAGTAATCGTAGACCCCCAAATGAATGTGAGTAGCCCTGCAGAAACCGTTGGTTTTTGACGCACCGCCCCAAAAAACCTAACAACAACAAAAAGCAACACCAGGCAACAGAGTGTTCATTGCTTGCCTCCAGCGCCCTGGCAGCGCGCGAGAAAGCACGAGAGCGCAATCGCGAGTCCAGCATCTTGCCCAGCATGCGCAACTGGCCCTCGCCGTCGGCCTCCTTGCCCAAGCGCACGCCCAAACGCTTCGCCTCTGCTGTGAAAAGATGGCGTTGGTACCGCGGGTACGCCTGCACCACTACCACTGCGCACTGTTTAGACGCGCGCTGAAAAGCAACGACATCCAAGCCGCGACCCTCCGCCATGTCACCGCCCGACTCCTCGCGATACGTCGTCTGGGCGCGCCCGACCCCGTCGTCGCAGTTGAACCGCAACCGCGCCAACCACACAGCAAGCAGCTGCACCCCCAAGCGCGCGCCAATGAACTCACTGAACACATGCATGTCAGTGTTGTTCATCGGATAGTTACATTCCCCCCGCGCGTGGTCTGACCACTGCGGGCCCTGCCAGAAAACAAAGAAAAGCAACCCAAATCTCAGGACACGGAACTGGAAGACAACACTGTGTTTCATGCCGCCGCCACTCTGAGCGCAAAGGGCACACTCGGCACGGAAATCCAGCTAAACACCGCGCCCAAAACAACTGAACCCTTTTTTTCCGTTTCGCCACGTCCTGGAGTAACTGCAACACGGCCGGGTCCACGCACACCTGCTCAAAGAAGGCCTCGGCGGCGGCTGCCCCGTGAATTTTCTCCACCGTGCTGACCGCTGCGGCGTTGGCATAAGCGGCCAGCTCCGAGACGCGCTCGCGGATGTTCATCGGCCCTCTGCGAAGTCCGTCAAGCCTGTGTCCTGCACGCGGCGCCGCTGAAAAAAAGAAGAAGCTGTAGCAAAAAATGAGGTGGAACAAAGCAGGGGGGTGAAAAAAACAAACCTGGGCATGCTCTGTGACATTTTCACTCCGTCCTGGAAGCTCATGCCCTCCATGAGCGCGACAGCATGGATTCCCATCGGCGTCCACGCAACGTGTTTGGTGTTTACTGTCTGGGCCATCCCCGCCCCGATGGGGACAGCACCTCACTCGATTAAGCACCAGTTGGGCCAAACTCCTGAGGTAAGGCTTGGGAGGGCGATGAGGGTGAAGATGATGATGATGATGATGCTGATGATGATGATGATGCTGATGATGAGGAGGGGGGAGAGGATGAACTGGACGAATGCGAAGATGATACGGAGGAGGAGGAGGAAAAAGGGGAGGAGGAGGAGGAGGAGGAGGAGGAGGAGGGAGAGAACGAGAAGGAAGAAGATGATGAGAAATGAAAACATGAGGAGGAGGGTGAGCAGAAGTAAACGAAGAAAGAGGCGTGCAGAAATGCAAGGGGGAGGAGAGACAGAGGAGGAGGGAGAAGGAGAGAAAACGAAGGGGGGGGAACGAGGGGGAGGAGGAGGAGGAGAAGGGGGAGGAGGAGGAGGAGGAGAAGGGAGAGAACGAGAAGGAAGAAGATGATGAGAAATGAAAACATGAGGAGGAGGGTGAGCAGAAGTAAACGAAGGAGGAGGCGTGCAGAAATGCAAGGGGGAGGAGAGACGGAGGAGGAGGGAGAATGAGAGAAAACGAAGGGGGGGAACGAGGGGGAGGAGGAGGAGGAGGAGGAGGAGGAGGAGGAGGAGGCAGCTGAGGAAGAGGAGGAGGAAGAGAAGGGGGAGGCAGCTGAGGAAAAGGAGGAGGCAGAGGAGGAGGAGGCAGAGGAGGAGGAGGAGGAACATGAAGAGGAGGAGGAGGAGAAAGAGGAGGAGGACGACGAGGAGGAGGAGGAGGACGAGGAGGAGGAGGAGGAGGAAGAGGAGAGAGAGAGAGAGAGAGACGGAAATAATGTGGGGCAGAGGAGGGGAGACAAGAGGAGAGCCGAAGGTGGAAAAAATCCGCACTGATCGTGCCCACGGGTCGGCCTCGACCGAAAACGTTGGCCGATCTTCCACGAGGAAGAGGAGGAGGGAGGAGTAGCAGCGAGGGGAGGGGGATGGAGGAGGAGGAGGCGGAGGAGGAGGAGGAGGAAGAGTAAGAGGAGGAGAAGGAAGACGAGGGGTCGGTCAGCCGATCAGCCGATAAATTATCGACCAGCCGATCAGCCGAACAGCCGAAAAGCGGTCCTGCAGCCGATCAGCCGATCAGCGGTCGACCAGCCGATAAGCCGATCAGCCGATAAGCGGTCGACCAGCCGATAAGCCGATCAGCCGATAAGCGGTCGACCAGCCGATAAGCCGATCAGCCGATCAGCCGATAAGCGATCGACCAGCCGATCAGCCGATCAGCCGATAAGCGATCGACCAGCCGATCAGCCGATCAGCCGATTAGCCGATCACTCTTATCGGCTGATCGGCTGATCGGCTGATCGGCTGGTCTGCGTCTGATCGGCTGATCGGCTGATCGGCCAGATCGAATAGCCCCCCCGGGCTGCAGCCACAATGAACATTAACCCCTCCGACTACCCCCTCCCCAGGGGTCTGGGCAGGAAATCGCGACCAGTCAGAGCGTCCGCAATGGCCCGAGATGGACCAAATACTGCTCCAGGAAACTCGCCATGACCTCCACACCGCCCTGAGACCCAATCCCCCCTTCAAAAAATCAACTTGCTCGACGGCGTCTCCCTTCTCGCTCTGTCACTTCCGGTAGGCCTCGGAGGCCTCCAGAAGGCCTTAAGATGACCAACCGAGCCCAAAGAGTGGCCCAGAATTGCCCCAAAACGGCCCCCTGGGTCCCCACGAATACCTAAAGAAAGCTCAAAGAGGAGCCTGGGAGGCGAGTATGTCCAGCTCCGAAGGGGCAAACAGCCTACCACAAGAGACTCTTGAAAGAGACTCCGACAAATCTCTGAATTGGCAATGTGGGGGGCTGCCCGCGCTGACACCAGCTTGGGTTTGACGCGTGTCTGCCCTCACTCTCCCACTATATGCTCGGGCTGCTCGAGCTGACCCCAGCTTCGGATCGACGGGTGTCCGCCCTCACTCGCCCTCTAGACGCTCCTCCACTTCTTTGCTGACAGCAACTCGCATAGGAATAGGTTCTGGACAGGCTGGTGCGGATGCTGGACAAGTCGAGAACTGCAAATTGCACGAGCCATGCGCTCACATGGTTCCAAAACATTCTACTCTAGAGGCGAACTCCCGACCACCTTAAAATGCTTGGCATCTGGGCAACACACCTTCACCACTAAATATCACGCCATGGTCGCCGCGAGAGGAGAACTATGACGAAAACGACAAGCATGACGATGACATCGATGCTTTTATTGTTTGCCAAAATGCGGCCAAGGACTTGAGCAGCACAGCAGCTCGCATCGTCCTGAAAAATAGCGAGTGCATCGTCATGCACGATATCCGCCACCGTGCCCACGGGCACGTAGAGACATGGCACACTGCCATGGCTTATTTGCAGACTTCTTGTAGCTCTCCAGTGTCCCCCTCCTCCTCCTCCTACCAGCACAGTCGCTGCAAGGCTCCTTGAGCGCACAGACGCCTTCTGGCGCTCTCCAAAGACTCTCAGATGGACAACATGTCTTCCAAAACGGCTCAGCAAGAGCACGGGATGTCCTTGGACTGGCTTTGGGGCTGTTTTTGTTTGCGCTGCCTCGGGAGGGTCTTTAGCCCCAGTTGCGCCGTCCAGGCTTGCAAGAGCGTATCCATGACACACAAATCGGCGCTTGCGGGTTCGTCGGGAAGTCGCTGAACAGCATTGGAGCATTGACTGGCTTTCAGATGAAATGTCGGGGCAGTTGTTTGCTGAACTTGGGATGCCGTGGCGTGTTCTTGGACTGGCGTTGGGCTGTTTGAGAAAGTGGGATCCGCAGAAATCGTGTAAACCCCTGGACCTTCCCTTGACAAGCTCTAGCACCCCTAGCCCTTGATAAGCTCACAGATGCACGCGTACAAGTACGCACACACATGGCACGCACATGAACTGAAGAAGTAACACAATCGCGAGCCGAGCAGAGACGTACTTCTGATCAGGATACATACTGACGCACTAAATGAAGAACCATGCAAATCAATGCACATATTGAACAAATGCACTGCGTCGGAACGGCAGCGCGATTTAACGCACAATCGTGGAAATGGTGCGCAATAGCCGTGCAACGCATTGCAACTCAATGCAAACCATTGCAAGGAGACGTGGAACTCAAATGACATGCAAAGCAACGTCTTGCACATCCAAGATATGGAGCGGTTGGGAGGTCGGTAGGTGCGATCGTTCAACCGTCGTCTGCCAATATCAGGGTCTTCTCTAGCCGCTCACACCCATGTGTCCTCGCCGTTGGGTGAGCCTTCATGGGAGCCTCTGCGGACCGCCGCGGCCCTTTCATCAACGTGATTTCGACGGGACGTCGTCTAGGTTTCGACCACCCCTCTTCACCCTTTCGTCCAGATGTCGTCCAAATGTCGCCCAGATTTCGTCGAGACGTCGCCCAAATCCGACGAAATGCAAGCGAAATCTCCCAAACCGCTGGGAATTTGGGGGACCCCCCGAGGCCCCCGTGAAGGGCGACGCTGCTGGGCGCGCAGCTCCTCGAGAGCGGGTCTCCCGAAACGCCCACCTGCGGCATGCAGGCCTGCCACACGGAGCAGGCGAGCAAGCCTCCGCGCGCTCGCGCGCGGCAACGGCGGGCATGGGAGGGACAATGCACCGGGAGGCATTCCTCCCTCCTCCCTTCCTCCTTCCCCCCGCCTCTCTCCTCCCTCTTCCCTCCTCCCTCCTCCCTCCGCCTCCCTCCTCCCTCATCCTACCTACATACTACCTCAATGGGAGCACACCTACCTACCTATCCTCCCTCTCCCTCCCCCTCCCTCAGGGGGAGCACACCTACCAACCTACCTACCTACCTACCTACCCACCTTCCCCTCCTCCTCCTCCTCCTCCTCCTCCTCTCCTCCTCCTCCTCCTCCTCCTCCTCCTCCTCCTCCCTCCCCCCGCCACACTTTCACCTGAGAAAGCTGTGCTTCTTTCGTCCTCCAAATGTGTCGGCCTCCGCATTCAGGAGCTCATGGGAGTTCGACTCACAGGCCCTATTGTGGCTTCCACCCCAAACCTCGGGATCAACGATACTATCGGGACATCTCTTAGAGTCCAGGGCCGTAATGAGCGCTAAGCAGCGGGTTCATGTGGGGACTGCTGGGCCCGTAGAGTTGCCAACTTGGCCAGAACCCTTGGAAGGCGGTGTCGCATGCTGTGGGTGGCGGGCACATTGAGCGTCTTCAACTATGGTTGTGAGTGCTGTGGAGTCTTTCCCCAAAAGCTGTTTGGCCTTCGGGGATCTGTCGCCAAGGCTCTCAAACCTTCGGCTGTTCAGATCTCTAAGAGTCCGACTTCTCTTTGAGAACGATCAGACTTGGATCACGCGAGTTGTTTGTCTTTGGATGGCATAGTGAGATCTGGGCGGCGGACGCTCGGACGCACGACGCTGCGCTGTCCCATGATAAGCATCGGACGGTTTGTGAGGCTGTCGAAGCCGAAGGAGTTCCACCGCGGAGAAGAATTGCGGGACCGATACCCGCCATATGACTGACACTTTCCAGACTGGGATGGGGGATGTCATCTTTTTGCACCCTGCTGGACGACCTCGGTAACATTCATGAATGTTTATGTACTTCCCCCGCCCACTTCAGGACTCATCTCCGGCTTTCCGTGTTCAGGACTTTGGAAAGGGAGTTCTGGTGGAAACAACATTACAAGCATTGGATGTCGTTCGGGGTCGTCAGCGCTTGCCTGGCGTCCAAGAAGTTCACGCCTTTGGAGAAGGGCTCTCTCAGAGCAGGGGAAGGGCTTTGGACCAGAATGAGAGGATCGGAGGTGAGGGGGTGAGATCGCAGTGGAGCGGAGAGCCCCCCACTGGGAAATCGGTTTCGGTTTCGTGTTCGTGTCGCGCGTGCGGGCGAGGCGAAGCTGCGTGGGCGTACGAAAGGAGTGATGTCGCCGTGGGTCGGGGCTGTGGAGCGAGTTGTCCGCCACACCCCCCCCCCACGGCGCGGGCGCGCGGTGGCCGGGGGGGGTCCCGTCGGTGGCACGTCGGGGTCCCGTCGGTGTCCCATCGGTGGCGCGGCGGTGTCCCATCAATTGCGCGGTGTGTCCCGTCGGTGGCGCGGGGTGATCCGTCGGTGGCACGGCGGTGAGATCGATAGTGGGATCGATAGTGAGATCGATTGTGAGATCTATTGTAAAATCGGTAGTGAGATCTCTTGTGAAACTGATGGTGAGATCGCTCGTGAGATCTATGATGGGACCGACAGTGAGATCGATTGTGAGATCGATTATGGGATCCATTGAGGGACCGATATGGAGGTCGATGGTGAGATCGATTGAGAGATCGATAGTGCGACCGACAGTGAGAACTGTTGTGAGATCGATAGTGAGTCCGAATGTGAGACCGATCGTGAGTTCAACTGTCAAATCAATGGTGGGATCGATAGTGAGATCAGAAGTAAGGTCTGTTGTGAAATCTATGGTGAGATCGCCTGTGATGTCGACAATTCAATCGATTGCCAAATCGAGAATCAGGTTGATTGTGGGAACGGTAGTGACATCGGTTATGAGATCGATCATGGAATCGATCGTGAGATCGATAGTGAGAGGATCTGTTGTGAGATCGATAGTGGGGTCATGTGTGAGATCGATAGTGAGATCTGTTGTGAAGTCGGTCGTGAGATCGCTTGTGCGATCGATGGTGGAAACGGCAGTGAGATCGATACCGCGAACGATTGAGAGGTCTATTGTGAGATCGATTGTGATACCGACCGTGAGAACTGTTGTGAGATCGATTATGAAGTCGATCGTGAGATCGATAATCGAAACTGTTGTGATATTGACCGTGCATCTGAATGCGAGATCGGTTGTGAATTCGATTGCCAGATATATAGAAAATCGATTCGGAACTCGATAATGGCATCTGTTGTGAGATTAACCGTGAGATCGTTTGTGATATTGATAGGGAGTGAGTTCGATTGTCGAATCGACAGTGGTATCGATTGTAATATCGATAGTTAGATCTGTTGTGGGATCGATAGTTAGATCTGTTGTGAGATCGATAGAGAGATCTGCTGTGAAATCGAGAGTTAGACCGATGTGAGATCGATTGAATGAGACGTTGGCTCACCCGCCTCCCCCCCGAACCTCCATATCACCCGATGGGTAATCGAATACGATATGGGTTGTCAATTTCCCAGCGAACGCGAGCAATTCGGAAGCCCCTCGGACTATGTCTTCCACCGTGTATGACAGTGCCCTGCTGGCGGCAAGGAGCGTAGGGACTTGATACCCGCTGAGCTCGTTGAAGGTGTCAACGAGTTTGCTTCGCAAGGTAGTCACAAGCTGTTAATACTAACCTGGCATTCCTCACCAAGGAGATCGCATCCCTCCCGTCGCGTATGGACGAATGATCATGGGACTGTCACTGATATGTTGACACCCCCCACAAAAGACAAACTTCAAGGGAAAATCTCTGTAGACGATTCGTGCACTACGTTGCTTGTTCCTGAGATGAATACAGCCTCCTGGAGTGTTGTTTCGTATGTTCAAGGAGCACCAGCATGCCGCATCATCGGGTCCGTCTGGGAACATTTCCCACAAACCCCTCAAGCTGGTGAGTTGTGTGAGCACCTCGCTGCCATCCAGTGTATAACGGGCTCCAATACCATCTGCACTGACTGCAAGAACGAGATGGACTCTCATGCTCTGCCAATTTTCAACCAATATTCTGAAAAACGCAAGTACGCCGGGCACCTGACGCATGCTATTGCGCACCCCCCTCGTATAAGTGTGCAGAGTGTCACGCACATGCGAACTCAACAGAGTCTAGACGAAGCTAATATCACAGAGAAACTCAGATGTGTTCGCGAAGGGAACAATGCGACTGGTCAGGCTGCCAAGTCTGCAAGAGCGCACCATCCTGTTCCCGATCGGTCTGTCTTGGAAGAAGTCGTTATTGAGCTCAAGTATGCTCATGTTTATGTCTTCTGGGTATGAAACTTCTGCCTCATTGAAGTCCCTGAGAGAAATCAAGACGACGGAATATTCCCCCCTTCCCCCCGAAAGCCGGGGCAAGAAAAGCCGGTGCGACCACCTCACGGAAGGGCTGCTTTCGAGTCCTTTTGGCGCTGCTCTGTGTGCTGGAGGGTTCGCAGAAAGAGATGGCCTCGAAAGCCACCCCAGTCTTCCAGTCGTGGCCAGTCTCATTCCTCGATTCGAAGATTCGCTGACAAAAGACACAGCTGCATGATCCTCCCGTGCAGTAATAGTCCGTCCTTTGTCATCTGTGATTCGTGCAAACCGTACAGCTCACATGGGTGGACTGTGGCTTTGGAGGACCTGTGCTCCCCTCCTCCTTTAACTTTCGAAAGTCGACCCGAAGCATGATTTGTAGAGGCAGACACCCCGAGCGACCTGATGTCACAGCTAGCTGTCCTTTCGAAGACACTGAGCTCGAGCCTGACCTAACCAGGCCCCGAGTGTGTTCTCTGGACCTTCCCTCATTTGGGGGATGAAGCCAGAATAGATGACGCGGCAGCCAATTTGAGTCAGAATGTTCATCTCAGAGCCGTGGCGGAGTGGCTCAGAGAAGGGGATCATGACGCCCCAATTGTGCCAACTGGAAAGGCCATGTGGGTCCGAGTCGGGTTCGGAATAACTTTCACTAACATTGAAGGTCCCTAAGGCTGGCCTTTGCTCAAGCATAAGCCGCTGCTGCAACGCCTGTCGCTCCCGCCTCGTCGCGACATCCGCGTGCCTGGCTGCCGCCTAGTCCCTCAGGGTTTGAGTTAGGGTGTGTTGTAGCTTCGCTCCTAATATTTCGAGGCTTGCTTTCGTGCTGTCGGAGTGGGCGATGCCAAGCAATGTTGCGCTGTGGGGAATGGCTTGCTGGAGTGAGTTACCGCAGCCTGGGCCTCTCGACACTGAGCGTCCTACAAACACGTTGCGCCTGAGCCTGCAATGCCTCTCCTCAGTCGCCCCCTGGGGAAAGAGGGGCCGACCTGGCCAAACGTGCCCAGCCCTCGAAACATTCGGCAGAGCACGCCACGCCTGCTGCAATCAAACGTTCAGCGGTTGAAAGGAAATTACACATCCTCCCCCCTCCTCCTCCTCATCCCTCCCCTCCTCCTCATCCCTCCCCGCCCCCATCCCTCCATCCCCACCCCCATCCTCCCCCCTCTTCCTCATCCCTCCCCTCCCTCACCTCCTTCCTCCATGCCCCCCGCGCGCGCCAAGCGGAGAAAGGGGGAAGGGGGAGGCGGGCGGTGCACCGCGGCATGGGCACCAGAGCCGATGGGCCGCCCACCTCAAACAAGGGCGCCTAACTTCGCGCTTCGCGCTGCGCGAAAAACTTCGCGCTCTCGGAGGAATCAGAGCCGAAGCGCGAAGCGCGAAGCTCGAATCAGGTCGCGCCCTCGAGCGCCCTTGTCCAACGGCATCAACTCAAACTGTCGACGGTCCGCGCGGATTTCCTGGATCGGCGCTGGACCCCCTGGCGCGCGGAGGCCCAGCGCAAATCCAAGAAATCCGCAAAGACCGTCGAAAGTTTATGCTTATGCCACTTCTCCTCCTTCGACTCCATTCCTCTCGTGGGTTAACCTTCATGAGAGCCTTTGGACCTCCACGGCCCTATCCTAAGCGTGATTTCGACCGGATTTCGTCCAGATTTCGGCCACCCCTCTTTTATCCTTTCGTCCAGATGTCGCCCAAATGTCGTCCAAATTTGGTGAACATGTCAACCAAATCCGACGAAGTCCAAACGGAATCACTAAAAAATCATTAATGTTGAGGCCCTCTGAGGCTGCCATGTGACAGTTTTCCTTCCTCTGAGGCTCTGGGTACACGGGGGAGAGGGGGGTCGGGCGGGAGGTCACGGTAACGGCGGACGCAGCGTGCACCTGCCAGGGTGCGTCCGCGCCACCAGCGCATGAATCACCTGTGCTGTGTGCCCCCAGTATATAGAGGGAAGTCTAGGCCCACCTCCTAAAACTTACGATCGTTAAGGGTCATTGGGCGGGGTGTGGAGTGGTCCGGGTGACGAGCGTTATCCTGGGGAAGAGAAAAGAAACGTTCACCCCGAAAGACCACACAACCATCGGGGATCTACTGACCCGGGTCAATCCAGGCCCAGGCTAGTCAGGCATTGCAGGATCCTGCAGGATCCTGCAACCAGACCCGGGTCAATGCCACCCTGGCGCTGCAGGACCCTGCGAGATCTGGCGCTCTGACTGACCCCCCTTTTGCATCGACCCCCGTCTCTTGAACCCCGCAACCACTCCCCCGTCTCCACCGGCCACGCGCCTGTGGGGTGGCTCCCCCGAGGGCCCTCCCGAGCGGTGAATCCGTCGGCTCCCCCCCACGGCACGGGGCGCTGGCCGCGCCCCGCGCCCGCCGCTGGCCGAGAGGGCGCGGGGGTCAAGGCGAGGGCGTGGGAAGGGTCTGGGTCGGGTGCTGCTGGAGACAGTTTTGCATGTTTCGGTGACGCAATCGCAACGCTGTCAGAAGGAACCCTGACTACGGAACGAGGCCCCTTTCTTCCATCAATGGAATTTCGGTCTCCCACGGAAAACCTAAGGAAACCTGAGGCACACTGTGGACAATTAAGGAACACTGAGCCCCTCCCAACGAAAAGGGTTCCTTCTTCAGCGGCCCGACTGTAGCCCAGGGTATCCGAAGGGGGACATTGGGGGGACGGCCGATAACCTAGCTTTTTCGCCTTGGGCAGCCCCACGTTTGCCCGTGCGCCACAGCGCTGCGTACCGTCCTTCGGGCCTGCGCAACCGACAAGGTCATCCAAGGGGACGATGGGGGAGTGCGGGTCCGATAACCCAGGTGGTCGCCGCCTGGTCCCATAACAATGCAGTCTCCTAGAAGTGCCCCTGACCCAGGGAGCCCCCAGGATTTCCAAGGAGGCCCCCACGGCCTCCAGAGCACCCCTCACGAGGCCCAGGGGGCCCAGGGGCTTCAAAGTGGAGCGAAAAGCTGGGGGCAACTTGAGCCAGGGGCACCTTTAACAACCCCCGAGGGGGCAAACGGCGGCACATTCTGTCCACAGAACATCATCGTCAGGCAAACCATCGCCAGGCAGACGATCAGGCGGAGCCGACAGGTCAGCACTGTCAGTCTTAGGAGGCATCTTCTGATAGGTCTTTCGTCAGAGCGACTAAGGGCCATTGAAGCTAGATCGAGCTACTGTGCTCCCAAAGTTGTTATACAAACTGGAATATATCTGGTTACTTCAAGCGGATCGTAATCGATTGGATACTTTCTAAGCTCTAAGCAGCATGCTTGAGGAACATATTGAAAGTGCCACATGCGTATCACTCCAGGGTGTCAAACGAGGAGTTGCGAGGAAGAGCGAAAACTAAACCATCGGCCGCAAACTTACTTCGCAAACAACTCAAACTGTACGACCAAATCGCAGACTTCTCCGAGGATGTTGTGCTCCGGAAGCCTGTGTGCGAACCCGTGGCGTGAAGTCCAAAAAAGTGGTATCGTCATCGCAGGCGTGCACGACCAATTACAGTGGGCATCTTCTGTACACCAGCACGTGTTATCCCAATAAAGTTGCCTCCCCCCTCCTCCTCCCCTTCAGATGGCAGCGCGTTTGGCGGACTGCATCGCAGACGCGTTTGGCGTACTCTCAGCCGCCTAACTTGCGTATGCACCGTGTGGGCACCTGGCTTGACTTGACTTGACTTGCGTTGAACCAAATTATACGGGATCATGCCACGGTAGGCTGGTTTTCGGCCGCGGATGTGCCAGCGCCGATGCTGAAGTTCACCTCCCAGGAGTTTGCATCCTAACAAAATCCTGCCCCCATCCCCAGTGGGTCAAGGCCCCTAAGCGCCACCAGTCTACCCTCTTGAGGCGGGGGTGGTTGCCGCAAAACTCGACGGATGCGGCATCGTTCCCAACCCAGGGAGTGTATCGCATAGCGGAATCAAAGGCTCCTAGTGGGGATGGTCGAATTATGCTGAGATGGGCCCATGAGCCGATGGGAGAAGGGCGGGCAGCCCGCTGGGTAAAGCACGAGCAAACCTTGCTAAAGACAACCACGAGAAGCTCAAAGAGAGCTCAGGACATACCAGGTGAGGCCGTTCGCGAGGAGAGGGAGCCCTGAGACTTTGGAGAAGATGCACGAGGGCGAGGTGGGCGAGGGGGGGGCGGGAGCGGGCGAGAATCTGGCAATCCATGGACGACCCGCGGACCCAGGGGGCATGCATGGGAGTTGGCGGACAGCACGGTGGAGGTATTTGGGGCGGACTGCGCCAACGTCACATGTTAGGCCATTGGCGAGCCATGTCCGAAGGAAGCAAGGGGGGGTCTGAAACAACTTGCAGGAGGGCAGCGGAAGCCGCGGGCACGGAGAAGCGCGAGAGAGAAACTGTGCCAATCATGGGCGAAATGTGGACGGGCCGCAGACAAGCTGGGGATGCCGTGATGGCGGCTGTGGAAAACTAGGGAGGGAGCATAACGCTCGAGGAATTGCGTGCAGCGGCCACTCCGCGACCTGTCCACTCACCAGCCAGTCGACCTTTGACTTAAGCGACCATTAACTGCAGCGTCTGCAGATGAGCGAGAGCAACACTCGCACGCAAGATGCAGCAGCTGCCAGGAGGAGTGGAGGGGCCCGCAAAGCACGCAGAAAAAGGGCCCTGGTGCTCCTGCTGTTTCCCCCCGCATGAGGCCGAAGCTCGACCGAGCCAGAGTTCGCTCGCCAGGCGCCCCTCGCCTGGGGATGCGAGAAGCGTCAGCGACGCAACTCCTCTCCTGCTGCGCTGCTGCGCTGCTGCCCTGCTGCGCTGCTGCCCTGCTGCGCTGCTGCACTGGCACGCGGGCGGGGCCTGCCGCGAGCAGCCACTCAAAAATATAATAGAAAGCTAAAGCGCTAGCGCCGCGCGGCCCCGCAAGAGTCTAGCACAGAAAGTTGGCGGCGCGCGCAGGGGGTAGGGGCAGGGGGAAGGCTTCTTAAAAGGAGGCTGTTTCTTAGACGGCACCGGCCCTACATCTACAGACAAGGCCCGCGCCTTGTAAGGAGGGGTGTTTCTAAGAAGCCTTCCCCCCTCCCCCATGCCCCCCTCTGCGCGTGGCCGATAAAGTCAAGCGCGAACCCACTGGATCTTCTTCCGCCTCCACCTTCGGGCGACGTCGACCGACCACCTCACCGACCCTGGACGGGCCCATCTCGTGGTCCCAGGATCGGTGCCTTTGCCTACCTGGCCAGAAGCCAGGAAGTGCATGCACCGATCCTGCGCCAAGGCGGCCCCGCCAGGATCGGTAGGGAGGTCCGTCCTTCTGGGTGCCCCGATCGAAAGGACTATCAAGCCTGCTCGGAGGCTGGTGTGTTTTGCGTGCCAAGCGCAGGTAGCTTTCGCCCTCCAGGGACTCTTCAGCCGAAATGGCACTGCGCAGAAGCATCGGGTGAAAGGTCGCTCGCATGTACAGTTTTCTAACAAATGCAGGCCCTACCCTCCCTGCCACTGCCTGGTTTGCCAGGTTCGGAAATAACGTCTCAAAAACAGGTTCGGTCGTACACTCCGCGCTATGTGCGCTGACGCTGTCCGTCCGAAAGCCTTTCTTAGAAGACCTCTGTCTGAATTCAGTGCCGCACGCTAGTCTGCTGCGCGGACCTGGGAGCAGACCGGGACTTTCATGTAGAACTTGCGGACATGATTCGTGCGCATGCTTTGTCGCACTCTACGCCTGCAGCCCCTGAAAGCATTCAGCAGCGAAAAACACAGACTTGCTGTATATCCTCGCTCGGTCAGTTTCTGTATGAGAGTTCGTGCGTGGCGTAATGCATCAGATTTGTACTTGTTCCTCGCAAATGCTCTACGGATACACCCTGTCACTTCCGAATCGAACGCGCTCGGGCGATGGCAACTGCACGGAATAACATACAAATATAACTTTTGAGGCTTCGAATACATCTCCCATTTGACGGCGTTGTCCGCGTCTCTGGACAAAACGGTATCTAGGAGCACTACTTGCTGACCAGTGCCGGTCAACTCGGTTTGGACACTGCCTCTCCAGCTGTTTATGGCAGCTCCGAGCATCTCTGGCCCACCGGTCAAGATTGCTAGGATGTCATCAACGAAGCGCTTGTAGAACTTCAGGTCTGCCTCCAGCGACCGCTCCAGGTGGTAGTCGACAGCTACGAGGTACAGATTTGCCAGGATCACTCCTGGAGCGAAACCGGTTGGGATGCCGTCGTCTGACGAACGCACATCCCCACCGAACTGTACTAGACAAGATTTCGAAACCACCTCCACGACATTCATGATGAAGGTGGCGAGGCCCTCCGCGAAAGAAGAACGTATGATTGGAGATACGTGTTCTAGGACATGACTCTGTTCCACAGGTGGGTGCAAGTTCTTCGCATCGTACGTGTGCATCTTCCTGTTCTCGTCCAGTCGCAAATTCCTCAAACATTCCAGCAATATGTCTGTCGAGTTTAGCACGGTGCGGAAATTCTCCAGTAGGGGGCCAAGCTTTTCCACGAGGAACTTCCCGAAGGGTTCAACGAAGGTGCCGCTCATGTTGCACATGGGCCTCCCAGTTACTGGTGTCTTGTGCATTTTGACCCTGATCCTAAACGCTCCAACTTTCAAGGAAGCTGACAGATGTAGTAGAAACTGGAAACACTTACCATCCAAAACGTTGTTTTCGAGCGCTGATTCCGATAGCCGCTTTAGCAAGAATGTTCGTCGTACCGCGTACTCTTCGGCATCATCTCTGGAAAAGTGACGGAAACCAGCCTGGAGCTGCGCATGAACGAGTTCATTCAAAGATGATATGAGAATCACGGCGTCTCCCAAGCCTTTGTCTGTCCACAATTGCCAGCTGGTCGGAATGCTGCTTGAGCCATTTCTCTGTTCTTCGGTCCAGCCAATATGTGTTCATAGTAGGGCTGCCGATGCAGACGCACACGTCTCTCTCCATCCTGCGCCGCAGCAGCCTGCAGTACGAAGATACGTCTGGATCGAGAGATGGAGGGTTCCACATACGATTCGTCAGCCTGCAGCGTGTGAGGTGTCTGGCTCGTTCGTGTGCCTGCTCTTCTCCGTCGAAAAACTTACATACGTGCAGTCTGCGCTCCAACGTCGTGCAACTTGACAGCATGTCCTTCTCTGTAATGGCCTGGCGTCTGGGATGAACTTCGAACCTTTAGAGAGGCACTGCATGACGAATTCGGGCACTTGGATGTCGGCATCGTGGGGGAGGAGGTTGCGCATGCCTCTCTGTACTAGACCATTGCAGCGTTTTGAGAACTTCGCCCGCAACGTCTCGGCAATGACAAACTTGGTGAAGTAAACCTGCGTTCGATCAGCATCAAACCACGAAGATCTGCACCTCCTCCTCCCCGCTGCTGTTTGTTTGGCCTGCCTTTGCCTCGTCCACGGCCGCGGCCGTAGCGGCCGCGCCCCTTCCCTTTGCCGCCTGAGCTGCGATCGGAACGCCTACTTCCGGTGCTTCGGTGGCTTCGTGCTGATCCGGACCGTGCTCTAGATCGAACTCTGTTCGGGACGCGCACTGATTGTGAAGGGGCTCTACTCTGTCTTCCTTGGGGTGGCCGTGTTGTTGACCGGCCACGTCTGGAAGCTCCGCGTTGGCTCACTGATGTGCTTCGCCTGTGGGATGTACTTCGACCTCTTCGTCTGTCGCGCGATGCATTTCTCGAAGTCGTCCTCTTAGACGTTGGCCTCGTAGTGTGAGCTCTCGCTTGAGACGCAGGCGTCCTGTAAGTCCCACCAGCCCTTTGGGCGTGAGTGGTTTAGGGAGCTCTCTCTGTTCTCAACCCCCCGTCTTCCCCTTCGGGGAGGGGTTTACCCCTCCCCCGACCCCCTCCCCCTGGACCTGGAGAGGGGGTTTCGCGGGTCGTTGGAGGGGTCTTTTTCGACTCCTGGGAGGGCTAAAAAACGACGACCCTCACGAGGATTCTGGCCCCGACGGGGGGACCCAGTTTGGCCCCTCTGCTCTTCTTTAAAGCCAGAATCATTGATTTTACTACGGTTCTGGCTCCATTTTGGCGTCCTGGGGGGGCCGCGCTCATTTTCCGTCATAGCAAAGTCATTGCTTTTACCAAGGTTTTGGCCCCATTTTGTCCTTTTCAGGGGGCAGCTCTCGCTTGCGCTTCTGAGGAGGCCCCCAGAGGGGCCAAGATGGCCCCCTAAAGGCCTCCAGGAGGCTCCCAAGAGGCCTCCAAGAGGCCCCCCGGAGGCGCCCAAGCGGTCCCAGGAGGCCCCCAAGAGGCCCCCAAGAGGCCCCCAAGAGGCCTCAAGAAGCCCCAAGAGGCTCCCAAGAGGCCCCCCAGAGGCCCCCAAGAGGCCCCCCAGAGGCCCCAAGAGGCTCCAAGAGGCTCCCAAGAGGCCCCACGAGGAGCCCGAACGACTCACACCAGGCCGAGGGGCCCGGACGACTCCCACCACGAAGAGCCCGAACGACTCACACCACAAGGAGGGGCCCGAACGACTCACACCAGGACGAGGCGCCCGAACGACTCACACCACGAGGAGCCCGAACGACTCACACCACGACGCGGGCCCCGAACGACTCACACCACGAGGAGCCCGAACGAGTCACACCAGGAGGAGGGGCCCGAACGACTCACACCAGGATGAGGGGCCCGAACAACTCACACCACGAGAAGCCCGAACGACTCACACCAGGACGAAGAGCCCGAACGACTCACACCACGAAGAGCCCGAACGACTCACACCAGGAAGAAGGGCCCGAACGACTGACACCAGGACGAGAAACCCCAAACGACTCAAATCACGAGGAGCGCTTTCTCTCCCTTCTCCTCCGCCTCGTCCTTCCCCCGCTCCCCCCACAAGGAGGATGTACAAGGAGGCGGGAGGAAGGAGGAACAGGGGAGATATGCGGGGCCAAGCGGACACACGCCTGAAAAACACGACTGTCGGCATGCTTCGCCAGAATTGCTGCTGTGAGATGGGCTGGTGGGGATACGCGAAGCGTAAAGAATTTCTGAGGGCGCATCTGGCTTGGGCCCCTTAGCCCTAGTGAACTTGAGCTTGTGGTATGTGACAAGCTCTTTGGCAAAATCTGCATTGGAATGAACCAAGTAGCGAAGAATGCCATCTTCTGGTACATGTGTATAACCTTTTGTCGTCTTTGCGCGACCGCCTGAGCTCGAGCAGTGCTAATGTCAATGTCTGCTTGGTGTCCAAGCTCCTGTATTTTGTCTCGGCATCTGTAAGCGCCTTGTCTCTCAGCTGTTCGACCTTGGACTGCTTCTCCAAGCGCCCGTGCGTCTTCGGGGGAGCGTCCCGAAGCAGAAACTCTACATACTTGGACGCCATGTCGTGGAGGTAGCCAAGGTTGGAAGCTGCGATGGGTTGACTGTTATGCCAACTCGAGAGTTTGTCTTGCAAGCGCCGCTTCACCGAATCTGGATTCACCTCTGCCGTAAACAGCTCCGTGCAGGCCTTCTGGTGCCGGACGATCAACTCCCAGCACTCTCTTGCATGCCTATCGCGCATGCTCTCCCATGCCTTCGTGACTGAGTAGTCCAACTGGTCTTGATTCTCACCCTCCTGAGGCACAGCACGTGCGATATGTAATATATATATATATGTCTTGGGACACTGCCAAGTGTATCTGCGCTCTGACTCAATATGGGGATGCTACTTGCCCTCTCCTTGCATCCGGTCGTATTTACTTTCTACTTGCATCTGCGTCTCGTACGCCTTTAGCAAATCACGAAACTCTTTGCCAGACTCTCGGAAAATCTGTGCAGCTGTCGGCTCCACGTCTCGCAAGAGGTCGTCTGGGGAGCTGTACTTGTTCAGCTGCTGACAATCGAGGAGCCATGAAGGCTGTGCTTGCTGCTGCTGATTGGCGCTGTTCGTGCTCATCGTCTGCATTTGCTGTTGAAGTAGCTGCACCTGTTGTAGGAGAAGAGCGTTCTGTTGTGCGAGCAATTGTTCGACACTCATCTGCGGTTGCTGAACGCCCGCACCATGAACTGCACCTGCAGGTTGAACTGGGACCGGCACGGCTGCGTTGGTCGGCTGCGCTGCCGGTGGAACGCTACTCGGCCTTGCACTGCTTGATCTGACACCATATGGACGACGTTGATGAATATTTCCTCCTTGACACTATTGCTGCTCCTAACCGCTCGGACAGCGGTCTCGCGTCCGGTCCGCCAAGTGCTGCTGGAACCTCAGTGGCTTCTCTCGGCACGCTCACTGCAGCTGCGGCCGTGGATTCTCCCACATGCGCTCCGGTTCCATCCATGGCGGTGGCGACAGTCCAAATGTGATCAATCCCCCGATCGAAAGGACTACCAAGCCTGCTCGGATGCTGATGTGTTTTGTGTGTCAAGCGCAGGTAGCTTTCGCCCTCCAGGGGCTCTTCAGCCGAAATGGCACTGCACAGAAGCATCGGATGAAACTGTACGTGCCCCCCGGATCGGTGCCTTCGCCCCCCGGATCGGTGCTTTCGCCCACCTGGACAAAAGCCAGGAAGGGTATACACCGATCCTGGGCCCGGGGTGGCCCCACCAGGATCGGCGTGGAGGTCTGACCCAGATGTGGACCCTATGAGGTCTGGACGTGTGGACCCCCTCCCCAAGACAAGGCGTCATTCTGAGCCAGCTCTTCACGGCCCAGGGGTCCTGGAAAAGGTTGTTGGAGGCTGAAAACTGCCAAACACCGTCCGACGTGATATTTGTCACGACACCATCCTGGTGCCCATCCTCCTTCAGAGGCCTCCTTGATGGGATCCGAGTAGACGAGGAACGAGGATCCCGACGTATCGCCGATGCATCAGCGATGCGCGATGCATCAGCGACGTCGGGGGTGCATCGGCGACGCCAGAGCGGAACAAAGCAGACTCCAAATCGAGCCGCATCGGCGATGCATCGGCGATGCGATGCGGCGCTCTCCTCCGACCCCGTCTACTCGGACCCCACTTGGGCACAGGAGAGCACTCTTGTGTTCGCGGCGGTGATAACGGGCGTCATGTGAATAGGGAGGGAGGGAGGGGGGGAGGGGGGCGAGGCGTAGCGCTCCTCCCCCCCCCGCCGCGTGGATCCGGAACCACCGACCGTGGTGGCGAACGCACTGCGGCAGTGCCGGGGATGCACTGGGCGGGGGGGGGGGGCGGGGGAGCGTTACGTTCTGGGGAGGGGAGGGGCGAAAAACATGTTGGGACGGAGCACAAATTTCAGCCCAAATTGGGAGCGAACATGTGGCCCAGAGGGTGCCCAGAGGGTGCCCAGGCAGTCTCCGGATCCTCTCCGACGGACCCCGCCGCCCGGCCGCGGGGCCTGCGAGCCACACCGTCCACGGCAGCAGCACGCCGTCCGCGCCCACGCTGCCGCTCGTGTACGCCTCGCGGCCGCGGGGGCCCGGGAGGGGCGCATGGGGTGCCACAGGGCTGAATCTCAACGGTGCTTTTAGTTCTCGGTTTGTTTTTCGTTATTCCTTGTTTTGCCGTCGCTTCGCCGCGAATGCAAAACAAGGCGAAAAACACAACGGCCCACGAGATGGCCAAAACACCGTTTAGGTCCAGCCCTGGGATGCCACGGGAGCGCCACGAGGACGTATTTGGACGTGGGTTACAGTCAACCCGCATAGTAGGGATGAGCAAACTTCCAAAGGGTACCCCTGCATCCTTGCCTCATCGGCCCATCCTGGGCGACTTTCGCTGGCCGATCTCGTTCGAAAAACGATAACGTGACCTTCCAAGGCCCTCGAATCCATACCGCCCATCCATATGATATGGGTTGACTGTAGGGTCAAGCGCCAACTTCGATACACTCGGCGCAGGAGCGAACGGGGACCGAAGGAGGGCCCGAGAAGACAAATGAGCGAGGGCCCCAGGAGAGGCACGGCAGCGCCACGTGGGCGGGGGGGGCAACTGGGGGGAGGGAGCATCGCCGACGGATCGGCGGCAGGACCCCGGCAGCAGAACCGCACGCTGCTGCAGGCTGCGAGGCGCCAGGAAGCGCCACGAAGCCAGATGGGACGGTGTAGGCGAAGGGGGGGGGGCCAGCTCGGGGTGGGGGCACCAACTTGAATTGGGCGACGCATCGTCGACAGAGCGGCGGTAGGCCACCGACAGCGGCGCCGCACGTCCCAGGCCCCGGGAACGGGCCATAACCGTCATTCCGACTGGGTCTCCTCCACCTTATCTTCACTCTTTCGTCCAGATGTCGTCCAGATTTCGTCAAGATGTCGTCAAAATTTGGTCCAGACTTCGTTCGGATATTGACCGAATCCGACAAAACCAAACGAAACCTCCAAAACCGCAAGGAACTCTAGGACCCTCTGAGGCTCCCATGAATGACCACAGAGCCGCCACACTCGACGAAACGGCGACGGGCGTCATGCCTGTAGAGGGCCAGCAGGCAAACTCGAAATCAGGCAAAAAAGAACAGGAGGAGGGGAGAGGGGGGAGTCGGGAAGGAGGACCGGTGACCAGGGTGCTGTGCTCAAAACGAGAAGCCAACGCAAGAGGGTTGGGAGAAAGAGAGGTTGGCCAGGCGCGGAACACTCAAATTTTCACCACTTCCACTCGGCGCGAGGTGCACCGGCACCTGGATGACAGGAACCGAATAGAGAAACTGGACAGGGCTCGAGCTAAACCGTGTTTTTCGTTTTGGCGTCGGTTTCCTTCGCTCTGTTTTCCTGTATGTCTGTGCTGCGACACGAGATCAACACGAAAACGGCACACGAATTCGCCAAAACAATGTTTAGCTCGGGCCCTGGAACTAACCCAGGGAGGGAAACGATGACCCGAATTCCTCGATGCGTCGCCGAGTGGCTCCGATCGGCGAAGAATGGGCCTTTCGGGGCCGACGCTTCGTCCCCTGAGCTTATCCCCCCCTGTCGGCGCACCGTGGCCTTCGGGCCTGAGCTCGGTTCGCCGGCGGCCGCCCGGGACGACCCGGGCAACCCCCGGAATGCTCTCAGAGAGGCGCAGCTGCTGGAAAGCATCCCGAAGCTGGCAAGCCGCCGAAAACCTACAAATTCGGAAAACCTCAACCCACCGCCAAAACACGGCTGCCCCTGAGCATGGGGAAACTTAACGGTACCGATGCCACCACCCCCCAAACCTCTCCCTGGGATGCGTTCTGACCAGCAGTTCGAGGCGAGTCCAAACGTGGCAACGAGGGCATCACGAGACCCAAGAAACGAGAAACAATATAAGAGCAGCCGCATGGTCACAGTAGGACCTGGGCCACACAAGAAACATCCTTCAGTCGAAAAGAAGCCATCGGAGGATGATGAGCCCCGAGGCTGACTAGAATCAGATAAAGCCTCTTCCTCCACGCAATAGTTACTATAACCGGTGTCAAATCAGGACCCTGGCTAATCAGATCCTGGTGTCGACACCCTTGAACCAGGGCGGCCGCGGAAGTGTTTGCTCATGCTTTGCCTCCGCTCGCTGACGCGGCGGAAGGTCCCTTTGAAGCTGGGGGGAGGAGGACGAAGCACATCGCAACGGCAAGGATCAAGGAGTAACTCAAGATCTAAATGTTTGTATATATATATATACATATGTATATATATATATATATATCATCTGATGTCCTGCAAGATTATGTCAGCTTGCCAAGGGGCTCGCCTAACATGAGCGCCCGCTGGTCGGCAATTCAACTCACGCAGGAATGCGCGCGTGCGCTGACCGACGCAAGAGGAAAGGAGTGCGTGCCGACGGTCAAGTTCCGAGCAAAAGCACACGTGGCCAACAAGTGGGCCACAAATGTTCATCTATTCCCGACGGGAAGCTTCAGCTACAAGATGACAGTGGCCATGTCACGTGAAAACCCGCGACTGGGAGCCTTTTTTCCTGCGCGGTCCGCAGCCCCATCGCGGGGCAGGCTCGGAACTGCGTGCGCGCCGTGCTAGTGCGATGTGGCACGTACCTCCTGACATCATGTTTGAATGACTGATGGCCTGACATCACTTCTAGCATGGAAGCACAATCCGGACTTCCCTTAGTTTGTCCGACTGCTGTCATTCCACGCGTGTCACACCACGGGCACAATATACTATATTTACATCCATCAATTGACCGGTCGAAAACATATATATATATATAAATATATACGCAAGAGTCAAATACAAGATGCAGACTTGTTTGGGGGCTTACTGGACGGGGATTAAAAGACTGACTCGGTATCGATGGCCAGGGATACATCACCCTTTATGTTGCGCATTTCGAGGCTCGTCAGAGGGCCTAGGGGGCCCCTGCATTGAGCTCATGCAGCGCGACTATCGTCGGGCAGCCGCCCTCGAGACTGCGCGCCGCAGCTAGCGCTTCCGCTAGATAACTCAATGCACCTGAAGTCGAAGCGGCTTGCAGCAAGCATCCACGAGGTGGAAAACGTCTGCGCCGTTTTGCGTGATCCAACGCGTTCGCAGGTTTGCCTCGTGGATGCCGTTCCCATTTTCTTCATCGCCCGCATCTCCCGCCAAGCGAATGTTCATGGGCTCTCTCGTTGGAATGAAACGACTGAGACCATGAGCCACGCCTCAGCGATGAGAACACATGCCGGCGCATCCCTCAGACCAATGAACACGCCGGTCAATCTGAACGGCTTTCTTCGGGCGCCGCCCCCTGTAGCTCGGGATTCTGGATGGCTTTCATCTGTTCGACGTCCTCACGTCGGCCCACGGTGACGTCGCCGCGCTGCAGTTTGCTGCGACGCACAGCGAATTTGGCACATGCGTGCTTATCCGGATGACATGTCCCCGACGTCGCCCCCACGCATTGCACGCGCTCGTCGATTCGAGCTTCCTCGCCGGACAAGTTTACATCGTCGACGTGTTGAGCCGTAATCAAGGTCGGGCTCACTTCGAACTCTCCGTTGCATTTCGTACCTTGGAGCCCGAATCCCCCTGCGATGCCCTGGGCATGAGCGAGAAGTCGCGAGAGTCACCCTTGCTGCCCGCGCCGCGCATCAGACCCTGAAGACAAGGTCTTGCCATGTCAAAAATGGCAAAGTCTGGCGGGGTTCGGAGCGCCGATGCAGAGACATGAGGGAACGCCAAACGCACTAGACTCCCCTTTTCTCCAGGGGCTGCCGCCAGCCCATTATAAGTTTGCCTTTGAGAAAGGCATTGCCAATATCCAGGGATTCGAGTATCAGATCCTTCTTGCGCGCTGCCGCGCTGGCCCAGAGTTTTTGGCAAGCTCGTCGCGCCGTGCCCGAGAGAGCTTCGACGTCGAAGACCCCGACGCCCATGAAGACTCGCAACGAGAGCGAAGCGCACCGCGCGCCCCAATCTCGCCCTTGTCCGAATCGGCGAATTGCCACTCGCGCGCGCATTCTTATGTCGCGCGCAAAAAAACCTTGATAGCATGCAAGCTGCGTCACTCAGCGTAAAAGAAATGTGCCTGGATCCCGGCTTTCGCAAGCAAGTCTTCATTTTCGACCACAGCGAGCTTGGAAACGATGGCTGCGCACGCCCTTGCCGCGGCTGTGTCCGCGTCTCGGAACTGATGATGTTGTTATGATGAGTATAACCTTGGCCATGGCGGTTGTGAAACACAAGTCGAAATACCCCCCATGCCAGTCGGAACCGAGCGTCTGATTATCGTCGTACTCGCAAAGCCCGAGCCTGCTGCCGGGCCCCTGAAGCAAGTTATCTTGCTCCTAAGGCATCGTGGAAACCAGGGTGCATTCGTCGGGTGCCATCTGCGCGGGCACAGCCTATAGAGCTGGCAAGTAGTGGCTGTCCAAAGGCTCCTCGCGTTGCAGCGGTAATCCTGTCCCAAGCTCGCAGGGCCAGGTCCTCCGCGACGCGCGCGCCCAGAACTTCCTCAGTCGCTTCCTGGATGGTGCGAAGTCGTCCTGCGCCAGTGCCAATGGCGGAACGTTCGGGGTCGCAATATGATGGTCGATATTCCTGGATGTTGCCCCACATGTTTAGGCAAGTCCGCATCAAATCCAACTGAGGGCTTGGCTTGGTTGGCCAATGGATTATCCTGTGCCGGTTGCCGCCAGTAGCCGTTGTCGCACTGTATGAGTATTCTGCTGTTGGCATGGGCGAAATGTGGAATCTGTGTTAAATCTTACAAATCTTAGCAAGGCGCACTACAACTACGTTCTCAATCCTGAAGTAGTTCCGGACAAGGTACTGCAGTGCAAGATGTGCCTTTAGGTATACTTTGGCTTCCAACAGTCATTCGCAAGTCGCCTCGCGAGTCGGGGGCGCGGCCGAACAATGGCTGGTTGCCAAGCCGCCAGACCAGCAACGAATGTGACCATTGTGCGCATGGCGGCATTGACAGATCCTGAATCACGCACCACAAGAACTTCGATGCACAGCGTGTGCCGGACGCTGGAAGAACGCATTGCAGCTGACTTCCTACCCGCTTG